CTGGTCCATCCTGTCCATCCTGTCCACCTTGTCTAACTTCTACTCTTGGTCTGTCCGTTCTAACTTGTCCATCATCTGCTCTTGGTATGTCTGTTACTCCTGGTCCATCCTGTCCGTCTGGCCTAGTTTCTGCTCTTGGTCTGTCAGTTACACCTGGTCCATCCTGTCCACCTGGTCTAACTTCTGCTCTCGGTCTGTCTGTCCTTGTTGATCTTGCCTACCTGGTCTTGCTTCCCACCTACTCCACTTGGTGTGCCACATCAACCTAGTTTATAAGTTTACCTGGAGATGGTTGAAATGGCAAACCTGTACATCTGGTACAGCTATTATCTTATTTTCGCATGGCCAGAAATCTCGGACATTTTGCTCCTGCGGTCAAGTCAGCGGAATTACCATATGAGATATATTCAATACAGCGACATTCGGAAAGAAAGACTATGGTAAGGGTTACTACCAACAGTTAAACAACATTTCATCGGTCATTTTACATGAAAACAGAAAGAAAAAAGTAAAAGCCTACCCAAATTATTTTGAAGTCGAAAGAATAATATCTAGCACGAGTGGAACAATAGATAGGTTGTTTATGTGTATTGTGAATGAAATTTCACTTGCATTTACGTATTGTTGCTTTACATAGGTAAGATTACAACTAAAATAAGCCCTCAAAGTACTTTGAAGCTTTTCAAAATCATAAAAATCAAGCTGAATCGACATTTTGTTTTGTAATTCGAAAATTTGATCTCACCGGAAGTAAAAGTGCACAGTCTTTTATTATTGATTTTGGGCTTCCTTTGCAAGTCTTCCCAGAACTCTCTGCGGCATAGCTAAGCCTGATTTCAGATGTTTAATTTGGTATCAAACACGCTCAGAAAATGCCTTTTAAAACGCCAAAAAAGTGGCGATTTTTGTGCGTCATCTTCGCCTTCCGGAAGCAGGATACACTCGACATAGAATATTAACTTCTTTTGTGAAAAATCAAAAACTTTGACTCCCAAAAGGCAAACGTTGCTGATGCTGAAGACTTCCAATTTCTTTGCCAGCGATCAAAGTAAATATTGCCCTACTTAGATCGATCTTGGCAAATAAAAAATTCGCATGGATTCTTTGGAACCAAGTGAAGATGCATGGATACTTCTGGCTAATCTATAGTGGATGCTAGGGAGATCGGGGATAGCGAAGGGCAAAATTAAAGCCATGGAAAGGCAAAGTAMGCCCATTGAATTTTACTTTTTATATAGGTTGTGTGAAATAACAATTAGTTATAGACTTAAATACAAACTTGGCAAAATAAAAAATAATAATTCCCAAGGTTTTATTTACATGAATATTGTCGTCTTCCATACATTCTTTATACATATTGATGCGATTTCGAAGTACTGCGATTGGGGAACTCCGCTTTGCAATCGCGGGCTCAATGTTAGAGATTTCTGGCCATTGACATATAATTTAAAGTGGAATACAGAAAGTAGAGCAGATCAGATTCACGTTTCCTAACCTTGGCTGACTCATCAAGTTAGTCCAAGTTAGGATGTTTCCTTCCTGAGTTGGACATTTGCCGGCGAGATCTGATATTTCAGAGGCTGTCAGGACCTTGTCCCATATGTTCAAGCTTGTGAGATTGCCTTTAAAAGCTTGATTTGGATCATAGCCTCCTTTGTAGCTATCTTGTTCCTGGCCAAGTACTAAGGCCCCGTTGCCAATCGTCTCACCTGTTGCTACATTGGCTTTCTCGCCTCTCTTGACTCCATCGATATACAGTACCACCTTACCTGTCACACTTTCCCAAGTGAAAGCAAGATGATGCCAGGTGCTGTCGGTGATGTACTGACTTTGATCAGTAAAATCTCTATTGAAAAACAGATATAGACAATATACTATGAATATCGTGGAAATCTCAATGCACAAGAGCCGGCGACCTCAACCATATATTTTTCCCATAGGTTGGTAAAGGAAATGAGCTAAAGGTATTAAAAGGTTGATGAAAAACTTCCTGTACACTGATGATAAAAAAGTCATAGCTACAAGAGATGGTTACTAGTAAAAAAATTGTCAATGATTTAAGTCTCAAATATGTTCTTACTTCCATACGCCGTTGATGGATATCTTTGTTTCGGTTGTTTTTAAAAACACAACGATCACGTCACTGGATACTGAAGTTGAGTAGCTTAGCGGCGTATGGGCTCCTGCTTTTGCAGCATCCATCTGAAACCAAATGCTGACAGACAGCTTAGTCAAACCAGCCAGAAAAGGATTATCAAAGAAAACCAAATTATCCACTGATCCTCCGGGAAAGGACATCATTTTGCATCCTAGAAAAAAGAAAGTAAGATATCTTGAGATATTACATATTAATATATTTCTGAGAAAAACTGTTATTTTAGTCATTTCCAGGTTTGACTTATTCATTCGTGATATTATTTCTTAATGACGTTTTGAGTTTCACCTTCTTCTTTACATTCTTTTCCTTCTAATTGTTTAAAGTTCACTTACTTCTGCAGGTGACACCATCTCCTCCAAACCCGGGAAGGCAGGTACATTGGAATGAACCAGCCTTGTTATTACATGTGGCGTTTGTAGAGCAATTATGAAGACCAGATAAGCACTCGTCAACGTCTAAAATAAGGTAAAACAAAGTTAATAGTAAATAGATACCGTCTACCGTCTTCCGCTACCATAATCCTCATCATGTATCATCATCACTACTGTATCAGCATCATCGTCGTCGTCATCATCAGCATTTTATTCACTAACATTACATACTCATTGTCATTATCTTCTACTTTTCATCATCACTTTTCATTCGCCATAACCATTACCACCCTTATCTTCTTTTTCTTCGTGGTAGTTTTCAACCATTCCCAAGAGGATCAAGAGACAAACACATGGCGGCCATGCTGGCGAACCATTACAAAAGGAACTAATGAGAGGTCTTTTATTGAAGTCCGCCAGATGACGTAACATGAAAACTAAGAATTATTATAGCTATCATCACTTTCAATTTTTAATGAACCCTAATTAAGAGTAAAGCTTCTTAATTTTATAATCTATATATGTCTATTTAATTACAAGGAACTAGACCAGTACCTGTGGAAAATTAAAGGCTAATCAAATACCTCCTTGTTTAAGAAATCTTAAATTTTGATCTAGAAACATCTATAAATCACCGAAACTGCGCATACACTGACAACCAAACAGTCACGCGTTCACACAGCAAACATGGCGTGATTGTGAGCTGATATAAGCGTGCGACTTTTCTCGGAAATTCAAAAACTAAATCTTTTCGAATAAAAATCTAATTGCGCACTTCGTGGCTAGTAGAAATGGCGATGTGGTTTTGGTAACTCCTAGCTTAGCCGTTTTTCCGTGATTGGTGGAGAATATGTGATGATGATCCACATATGATATCTTCTGTAATGAGAAGTTTTAATCCTCTCTGCTTTTCTATCTCCTTCTTCTTCCTCTTCTATTTCTCCTCCTTGTTTGAAATTCACTTACCCCTGCAAGTGACACCATCTCCTTCAAACCCAGGAAGGCAGGCACATTGGAATGAACCAGCCTTGTTATTGCACGTGGCGTTTGTAGAGCAATTATGAACGCCAGATATGCACTCGTCAACATCTAAAATAAAGTAGAACAAAGTTGATAATAAATAGATACCGTCTCCCGCTACCACAATAATTATGATGTATCGTGTATTATCATCATTACTATCATCATCGTCGTCATCATCATCCAAAACACCACCATCATTATTATCATCTTCGCCAACTTCAGTATCATCATTATCACCACTAACATCACCGCCACCACCACCATCATCGCCATCATCTTCATAATCGTCATCATCGTCATAATAATCATAGTAAACATCATCCGATTACTACCATCACCGCTATCATCATAATCACCATCATCATCATCATCATCACTGTCATCATCATAATTTATGAGCAACAACGGCCAAAACTAACATCATCATCACCATCATCATCACATTAGCAATATGGTGATATTTTTTTTACTATCTTCCTCACCACCTTGCATTTACCATTGTTGGCATCACTTTGCAATTGAACATTTTGACAAGTAAACTTGTAAAAATTCGTCATTTATGTAACAAAATCTACTACCAATTAAAATTTACCTATTTCGCAATATTTTCCAGTGAATCCTTTAGGGCAAAGACATCGATATCCTGTAATGGTGAAACCTGATTGACAGGTTTGGTTGGCACTCGTGCAGGGATTCACGGCGCATTTATTCTGCAAAAATAGTAATGCTTATTATCAATCGAAAAAGTAATTATTACAGCTTATTAAGGTACGGAAGTCAGAATTGTGATTTCTATGAAAGGTACCTCTGTGCCTCTGTACGAGTATCCTGGTCTTTCCTGATAGTCCTGTGGGTATTGGTAACGATCAGCATCGTTCAGTTGACAGACCATCATTCCAGGTGACGATGAAGGTCCAAGGTTGTACGACACGCAGTCATTGTTTAGATAACAATTGATTCGACACATTTGGTCACCTGATAGTGTTAGTTCATCAATGACGTGGTTCAATAAGGCCTTATCTGATTGCAGTTTTTCATATGATGTAGTGAACCTGCAGTTCGATGCTGTAGAGACAAGTTCAATGTTAAATCCGTTAATTGGTTAATATGTATCCCTCGTGGATTAAGGATTATTGTTATATWAAATTTCATTTGCTGGTTAGTCACTTTACATATCTTGAACGTTATTTCGTTTCTTTTTTCATGAGAAGAAGAAGACAAAGTAAGACAGAAAGGAAAGGAGAAGAGCGAGACCAACAAACAATATGATCCTCATAAGTTCTACATAATTTTGTTTATTCTTTATTTTTTATAGAATAAAGTTTGGTTTTTTGTTTCTGAAAAAAAAAAAACAAAA